ACCAAGAATTTCTACTTTTAGAAATATTCTATGAACTAAATCAGAAGGAAAGTATAAGTATAAATACTTCAACCAAGCAGTGATGAAAACAGCTCAAAACAGAAAGAAACCTTAAAAATCCTAAATAACAGGATGTTTAAATTACCACATAATCATATAGAGGAATACCAAGTAGTGACTAAAAAGATGATACGAATGGACCAATGGAGGGGTATTATCCTGACAATGGGGAAAGTCAGACTTCACTTTTCCAGCATACTGGGATGTGTATTAGGAGATGCAAAGTATCTGGTACAGGGGATACCAATAAATACTTCTGAATGAATAAGAGGTGTCCTGGTTGTCCCTGGATATACTCTCACACACTCAACCGCTTACCTGTCCTCCTTCCGGCATTAGGGTTCATGACAGGATGTAATTAGGCAGATGGTTTTTACCTTCCTCTCTCCCCAGTATCATTATAGTAAATTGCTTCATTTGCTTTTTCTGGTATATCTGCATTCAAGTGGTGAGATGTTTCTTTGGAATCATTATAAAGCTTTCAGTTTCCTTGAGTAGTAAAAGCTATTTATTCATTAGTTAATAAATGCTGAAACTATGAAACATGGGATTCATTATACTAGTTTATTTTTATATGTCTGAAATTGCATAGATTAATACATTTTTAATAAGTTGGTTACTGTTATATAATTCTATGATTATTTCATAATGCAATTAATTGGAGGCAAGGCATTTTATTTCTATCTTTATTTTCAGACTGCCAGAGGCAAAGCTGCATTACCTCTCACTGGAATCCAATGAGAATTTACTAGGCAATATCTACAGAGGGCTCTAAAGCTCCCTGGGGTAAGCAGCCATTGTACCTAAACTCATATTTATTACTATAGGACAAATAGGAGCATCTAAAGTTTATTGATTCTTTTTAAAAAAAACTGTGCCCATGTTAAAAAACAGTTTAAATGAACACAGAAGGGTGCTAGTGGGAAAAGGATAGCTAGCCCACAAGGAAAAATATATTGACTATGATTTGTTAAGTTTCCTTAAAAAAAAAATAAAAAAATATATATATATATTTATTCATTTATTTTGCGGGGGGCGGGGATGGAGTTTTGCTCTCATTGTGCAGGCGCAATCTTGGCTCACTGCAACCTCTGCCTTCCAAGTTCAAGCGATTCTCCTGCCTCAGCCTCCCGAGTAGCTGGGATTACAGGCATGTGTCACCATGCCTGGTTTGTATTTTTAGTAGAAACAGAGTTTCTCCATGTTGGTAAGGCTGGACTTGAACTCCTGACCTCATGTGATCCACCTGCCTCAGCCTCCCAAAGTGCTAGGATTACAGGTGTGAGCTACCATGCCCGGCCAAGACTAGTCCTTCAAAATTATTTTGGTTTTCTTTCATTAAGTATGAGAGTTTTTTTTTTTTTGGAGACAGGGTCTTGCTCTGTCGCCCAGGCTGGAGTGCAGTGGTGCAATCTTGGCTCCCTGCAATCTCCACCTCCCAGGCTCAAGCGATTCTTTCACCTTAGCCTGCCGAGCAGCTGGGACCATAGGCACACACCACCCATACCCAGCTAATTTTTGTAGTTTTAGTAGAGATGAAATTTTGCCATGTTGGGCAGGCTGGTCTCGAACTCCTGACCTCAACTGATCTGCCCGCCTTGGCCTCTGAAACTGCTGGGATTATTACGGGCATGAGCCAATGTAAATGGTCTCTTCTATCTTCTTAAGTATTATATGCTGAATATACATAAATAATCTCTTGACAGCCTGCAGGAATTCCTGTGGAGAGCAACACCCAAGGGTTGTTTGGTAAGACCCAGACCTACAAACATTCCAAAGTCCAATGATAATAACTCATTTACTTGTAAAGTCTAAGAAGCCGGTGGGATTTAGAAATTCTTGGTCATATAAATCTTTGGAGATAAACTTGATCTAATTTTACTTCTCATAAGCCCAAGAAAATGTCCTACATTTAAAGCCTCTTAAACATCTTCCCTGAAGAAAAATAATCATATAGATATTTTTTTAAAAAACTAGGCCATTTAATAAATGCATTTAAAAACATATAAAGGTGTGCAAAAAAAAAAAAAATCAGAAGTTGAGAAGGAGTCAGCCCTGGTGGCTCAGGCCTATAATCCCAGCACTTTGGGAGGCCAATGTGGGACGACTGCTTGAGGGCAGGAGTTTGAGACCAGCCTGGGCAACATAGCAAGACTCGGTCTCTACAAAAACAAATAAAAGAAAAAAGAATTTAAAAAGTTGAGGGGAGAGGAGATTTTTAAAAAATAACAACAATAAAAGGCTCTGCTACCACAAATAAACTTAGATGTTAATAAGAGAACTAAATTCTACAAGGGAGTAAAACTAAGGTGGGAACCAAGAAGGTCTGAATGAGGACAGATTTCTGAAGGAGGGAAGACAGTTTCAAGGTAAGAGAGGAGATGCTGATAGAAGTTCTGTGCTGCTGTGTGCTCCATGAACGCAGAGAGGGAAGCATCAAATCAGAACCCTGCCAGCCACTACCTTGAAAGCCATGCTCCATGAATGTAGATTAACCTATACTAATAAACCTATTGATCTGTTTTTAATCCAGTAAATTAAAACTAAAGTTATTATAGAAAAATAGGCAGAATTACATAAGTTACATAAAGATTATATATAGTCACTGGGATGTGTTAAATACATTATAATTGAATATTTAACCATTAAAAAAATGCTGGAAGATTATACTCCAAATTGTTAAAAGTGGTCATCTAGAATGAGTGTGATTAATTGAAGAGGTGGGGGTAAGAGGATTCACTTTCTTTTTTTTTCTTTTTATTTATTATACTTTAAGTTCTGGGGTACAAGTGCAGAACGTGCAGGTTTGTTACATAGGTATACACATGCCATGGTGGTTTGCTGCATCCATCACCCCATCATCTACATTAGGTATTTCTCTTAATGCTATTCCTCCCCAATTCCTCCACTCCCTGCTATCCCTCCCCTATTCCCCTACCCCTGACAGGCCCCGGTGTGTGATGTTCCCCTCCCTGTTCTTTCTAAGGTATATATTTCTAAATTGTTTTAACTTTCACGATGGATATTTGAAAATAAATGTTTAAGGCAAATATTTAAAGCAAAAAAGAAAGAAAGCATGATTAGGAGGAAAGTTCTAAAAAATAAGCTTAATGAGATGTAAGTAGTCATAGCAGTTACTGAAACATCATACAAAACTATAGTAATTGAAATAGTGTAATACTAGCATGTGCAAATACAGTTACATTAAAAGAGCTAAAAGCCCAAAAATATATGTAGGTATTTAGTACACGATAAAGGCAGCATTAAAATTATATGAAGAAAAGACCCAATGTTCAATAAATAATGTTGAGATTCTTGGTGGCCAATTGGAAAAAAATAAAATAGCATTTGCTACCTCACATAGTACACATAAAGATAAATTCCAGGAGTGTCAAAGACTTAAATGTAAAATTTTTAAAAATCCATGAAAGTATTAGAATAAAACATATAATAATTTTTACACCTCACAGTAAGGAAAACCTTTCTGTCTATGATACAAAACCTAGAAGCCATAAAAGATAGGTGAAATAAACCACAGAAAAAGAGAAAATTTCTGCTCATCAAAAACAAAGCAACAAAACAAATCCCTCCCCCAAAAATGTCAAAAGTCAAATGACAAATGAGGAATGAACTAAGTGCAATGTATATGACTGACAAGGCGCTTTTTTTTTGAGATGGAGTTTCGCTGTTGTTATCCAGACTGGAGTGCAATGGCACAATCTCGGCTCACCTCAACCTCCACCTCCTGGTTTCAAGCAATTCTCCTGCCTCAGCCTCCCGAGTAGCTGGGACTACAGGCGTGCACCACAATACCCAGCTAATTTTTTTATTTTTAGTAGAGACGGGGTTTCACCCTGTTGACCAGGATGGTCTCAATCTCTTGACCTCATGATCCACCTGCCTCAGCCTCCCAAAGTGCTGGGATTATAGGCATGAGCCACCGCGCCTGGCCTAAGGTGCTTTTTAAAAAAAAAAAAATTATAAAAATGTTGGTAGAAATCACTTGGACAAATAGTCTAAGAGAAGAAAGGAATTATCAATGGACATAAAATGAAATACAAGTGATTCTTAAACATGGAGAAAAATGCCTAGGCCCATTTTATATAAGAGAAATACAAATTAAAATGATAAACACCATATTTCCAATTTTTAACTTGGTCAAGATCAACAGAGTAGGTTTGTAAAGGAAAAGAAATCAGCACTTCATGCATTGCTGGTGGGAATGTAAAATGGTGCCATTTGACAAAGTCTGCTAAAATTAAGGAGGCACATATCCTCTGATCCAGCAATAATAATACTTATAAAAATTTATCCTATAGCCCTTCCTCATACATAAACAAATGGAAACTTACAAAAAATTACCAACAAATTAATAATTGGCTCTTAAAACACAGATGCTCAAACAATCCCTCAAAAGCAGTAAAATTTTCTTCTATTCATGGTAAAAATCAATATCCCATTGCAAAAGAAAACATAGTATCCTTTAAAATAATTTCTGATCATTTTTGCTCCTGCAATTCAAACCCTAGTATATCTCAGTTCATGCTTTTTATCCTCCCCTCTCAAGTGACTAAGAAATATTTAATTAATAATGTGTGTTATCCTATTGTCATATAATGTCTCTTAATAAAATTATTTTTCCAAGAAATATAAAAACAAAAACAGCCAGATCTTATAACACATCACTTGGGCAAGAATTTTAATATGGCTGTTTCCTCAACCCTCTCATCCCAAATTATCAGAAATCTGCTGACAGAAGTAGAAACAAACCATCAGAGACAATCCAGTGCTTCTCTGACAGAAAACCAACGTCCAATCCTGGCTCTCTTCCTCTGACATTGCTCTATGATAAAGTGACAAAAATGTTCCTGATAAAAACTTCTTTTCTTATGAGGCTGACTCACAGTTGGTGACTGCTGGATTCAGTTCTGCGCACTCACCAGGGAGGGAAGATCCGGACGACGTCCTGGGGACGGCCCCTGAGGTAGCCTGCAGTCTCCTTGGTGAAGAGAACTTTCAGGCCAGCCCCAGGCCTGGAGGCCACACCTCGGGAGGGGCTGGTGGCTGGTGGTCCCAGTAACTGCTCACACATGGCAACCTGCATGGCACATTCCTCGTGCAACTCTAAAATTTTCACAGTTAATACACCGGATTTTCTACCTAGAGGTTGACGAAAAGAATAAAGCAAAAATGAAGTCAAAAGACAGATAATTAAAGTGTGAATAAAGAGTCATGAAAAAAAGATCCACATGCAGATAACACTCTTTGCCTGGAGAAAATGGTCTCTACATTTTGCAAAGTAAAACAGAGATATTACCATGCTCACTATAACAATGTTCTTCAATCAAAATAGGCTTGCATGTTGCATTTAATATATGCATTTTAAGCAACATAAACAGTCTCTGTCATGAAGAAATTGTTTTGTATAAACAGAAACCTTAGACCCATAGACCCATCATCTTAAGGAGCATGCTTTTTACTCCAAGTCTCAAATCCTTTGATAACCACAAGGAGAATATGGCCACTGTGGATTCTTCTTGTTAAGGATGAACCTCTTCATGATGTTTTTATTCTCTGCTTTGATATCATGTATGTTACTAGCTAGCTGCAACTGTTCCAATGATCAGAAAGGCTAACAGTTGAAGAGTTATGTGGACTGCTGGGTATTAGAGCTCTAGATTGAAATGAGTGAATCTGATCTGGATTCAAGTACTGGTTTCCTTGTTAAGTTGGCTAAGTTCTTCAGCATTCAACACTTCCAATTTTCCCATGTGTAAAATGGAGATCCTGCCACCTGTCCCAGGGAACATTTGCTGGGATTAAGTGAGATAACTAAAGTTTAGAGTATGCATAGCCTCTACCCCAGAAATCCTAGGTAGGTACTCAGAAACTGTCAGATGCACCAGGAGACCTAAACAAGAATACATATCTCAGTGTTGTTTATACGAGTAGAAAACTGCACCCAGCATAAATCAGTAGGATGGGCAAACCATGGTGTGTCACATAACAGAACACTGTATGGCACTTAAAATGAGGTGAAACAGATTTGTAAGTTATCAGATAGAGAGGTCTTAGGAAAAGAAAGGGGATAAACAGGATATATAGAGTATGACAACTATAATGTAATTTTAAAAACACAGACATCATGCGATATGTTTATGAATACAAGTATAAAAATATAAATAGAAGGATTCACAGAAAAGTCATGACAGCCACTGTCTCTAAGGAGAGAGAAAGAGGAGTATGACTCAGGAGGGGAATCCAGAGGGTTTCAAATTTGTGTGTCATATTGTTTCTATTATAAAAGTATGAGAAACGAAAAAAACGAAGGATTAACATGTGCTACTAATTCTAGGTTGTGAGTATGCTTATGTGTTTCTATCACTCTCTGTGCGTTTTAATTTAAAAAAAATGAAAAAATACACAAATTAAGAAGAGCAAAAATGAAGGGTACAACATACCATCTTGTTAAGAACAGATACTCACCAATATGAGTTTCTCTACCACTTCAGCCCACTGGTTAACAGCGAATAATAAAAATTAGTATTTAAATGGTGCTAAGATTTTAGTTGTAAAGTTTAATTATATTTCTATTTCTTTCTCTCTCTTTTTCTTCATTCATTTCCCATTCTACCTCAAATTTTCCATCCTTTCCTTTATCTAGGAGTCCATGGCACATGCCCATATACTGGGCCCTGGGCCACAATGCCTCCCCTGAGCACTGTCTTGACAACTATTACTTAAGGCAAGAAAACAGAATGAGGGAAGGATATGAACAAGTATAATGTACAAGCAGCATATGAACAAGTTTCTGCAGGTCACTCTAGAAGAGGGAACAAAGGAGTGAAACCAACTTGCAAAGAAAGGCACTAAGAAGTGAACACACAGATGCCCTGCAACAACAGGTGTCTTGTTAATGAAAAGTAGCTCATCTTTAATTGATAAATTGGAGAAAAAAATCAAGATAATATGGAGGTCACTTCAGCCCATAAAACTGTTCCTCAACAGGGCAGCCAGAGCAGTGTGTGCAGAATTAGAGTCTCCAGAAGCAAAGGGAAAAGCCCTAGATTTAGGAGCTACAGTGGCTGCAGGAGCATTTTGAGACATAATTTAAAAATTGTTGAACTTGTACCTATACTCAACTCAGGGCTCATCGCCAACATGCACAGGCCTGAAGCCTCCCCTGTAACCCACTGACAGCAGCAGCTATCAGGGCTCCATGGCCACTTCCGCTCTCAAGCACCCAGTGGTCTGCTCAAGTTCAAGTGTGCCAGCTGAGCACAGGCATTTGGTTCTGCGCACTGCAGTATTCTTGTCATGGGCAGCTCCACAGACCCTGACAGATTTTATCAATGCAAGCTATTATAGAAATACATAAATAGTATTATAGAAGAAATACTTACATACCTAAGATGTATCATACTGCCTGACTATAGTTTCTTTGAAGATTTCCATGATAAATCCTGACAATATTCCAGAAACTATGAATTGTGATTAAGATCTATGGCACCAAATAACTTATAGAATAACATTTTATGAAGTTAGCTATCACCCGCAGCACTGCACAGGACAGCTCATGTGGTGACTAAATAGGCCTTGGAAGCAATACCGAGCGGTGCTCCTATGACTGTGCCACCAGGTCGGGGACAGGGCTACCCTCCCCACCGGGCATTCTAAAGCTCTTCCTACAAAGCACCCTCCAAAGCCTTCCTTACTAGGAGAAAATAAAGCAGGGTAAGCTCCTCCTTGTCTAAGAGAGAAAAAAGCAAGGGCAATTTACACTAAAAATGTGCTTGAGGCAAGCTTTTATTTTATTTTTAGAGACAAGGTCTCGCTCTGTTGCCCAGGCTGGTGTACAGTGGTATGGCCTTGGCTCACTGCAGCCTCAATAACCTGGGCTCAAGGGATCATCTCACCTCAGCCTCTCAAGAACCTGGGATGACAGGCTTGCACCACCAAAACATCCAGCTAATTTTCACATTTTTTTTTGTAGGGATGGGGTCTCACTTTGTTGCCCAGGCTGGTCTTGAAGTCCTAGGCTCAAGTGATCTTCCTGTCTCAGCCTCTCAAAGTGCTGGGAATACAGGCGTGAGCCACCATGCCTGGCAGAAGCAAGCTTTTAATCTAAGCAGGGGATATATTCATTTTACAAACAAAGAACAATGTGTTGCAATTAGATGACTAGTACATAAAAGGCCATTTTAGTGCTACCAGGCAACATTTTCCATAACTGCTACAAGACAGCCAAAATTTCACCTTGTCCAGGAAGATTTTTCTGATTACCAGCCAGAAGAAACTATTCCTTCCCTTCAAAATCTCCAAATACTTTATCTATGTCTCTCTTATAAGAGCATCCTCAGTTTTAAATACAGACAGTAGTAGCTACCCCAAGAGCACTAAAATCACAGACGCAATGCAGCAAATGTACCACAAGGTGCCTGGCCTGGCACACATGCAAGGATGGCAACCACTGTCACTGCCATCAGCTCTTCAAGGCATTTTCAAGGCCAGTCTCTTACTTGATCCACAACAACCCTATGACATAGGTAAGGAATGTATCAATCTCCCTTTTTGGAAGATGAGAAAACTGAAAAATAAAGCTAAGTTGCTCATGTGACTTTCTTAAGAACAGAGAACACAGCGGGGGGCATCACACTACCGGATTTCAGACTATACTACAAGGCTACAGTAATCAAAACAGCATGGTACTGGTACCAAAACAGAGATATAGACCAATGGAACAAAACAGAGGCACCACAACATATCTACAACTACACAATCTTTGATAAACCTGACAAAAACAAGCAAGGGGGAAAGGATTCCCTGTTTAACAAATGGTGTTGGGAAAACTGGCTAGCCACGTGCAGAAAGCAGAAACTGGACCCCTTCCTGACACCTTACACTAAAATTAACTCCAGATGGATTAAAGATTTAAACATAAGACCTGGCACCATAAAAACCCTAGAAGGAAATCTAGGCAAAACTATCCAGGACATAGGAGTAGGCAAGGACTTCATGAACAAAACACCAAAAGCATTGGCAACAAAAGCCAAAATAGACAAATGGGACCTAATCAAACTCCACAGCTTCTGCACGGCAAAAGAAACAGTCACTAGAGTGGATCGGCAACCAACAGAATGGGAAAAAATTTTCGCAGTCTACCCATCTGACAAAGGGCTGATATCCAGAATTTACAAAGAACTCAAACGGATTTACAGGAAAAAAACAAACAAGCCCATTCAAAAGTGGGCAAAGGATATGAACAGACACTTTACGAAAGAAGACATATATGAGGCCAACAATCATATGAAAAAATGCTCATCGTCACTGGTCATCAGAGAGATGCAAATCAAAACCACATTGAGGTACCATCTCACGCCAGTTAGAATGGCGATCATTAAAAAATCTGGAGACAACAGATGCTGGAGAGGATGTGGAGAAAAAGGAACACTTTTACACTGTTGGTGGGAGTGTAAATTAGTTCAACCATTGTGGAAGACAGTGTGGCGATTGCTCAAGGCCTTAGAAATAGAAAATCCATTTGACCCAGCAATCCCATTACTGGGTATATATCCAAAAGACTATAAATTGTTCTACTATAAGGACACATGTACACGAATGTTCATTGCAGCACTGTTTACAATAGCAAAGACCTGGAAACAACCAAAATGCCCATTGATAATAGACTGGATTGGAAAAATGTGGCACATATACACCATGGAATATTATGCAGCAATCAGAAATGATGAGTTTGTGTCGTTTGTAGGGACATGGATGAATCTGGAGAACGTCATCCTCAGCAAACTGACACAAGAACAGAAAACGAAACACCGCATATTCTCACTCATAGGTGGGTGATGAAAAATGAGAACACATGGACACAGAAAGGGGAGGGCAAGTGGGGGGGGAGGTGGGGAGGGATAGCCTGGGGAGAAATGCCAAATGTGGGTGAAGGGGAGAAGGAAAGAAAAGCACACTGCCATGTGTGTTCCTACGCAACTGTCTTGCATGCTCTGCTCATGTACCCCAAAACCTAAAATCCAATAAAAAATTAAAAAAAAAAAAAAAAAGAAGAGAGGATGACTGGCATGTCTAATCCGAATAATCAAGTATCCTTACAAGCCAAGGACCAAAATATTTCTCAGATAAATGCCAATTGT